TGCTTAACTCCCAACCATTCACAACAGCAATTGGCAAAACTGTTCAAACTGTAGCTGGTTTAACTATTGGGCTACAGGTCTCTTTGTAATCAAGCTCGGGACGTTGATTATAACCCTTTGCAACTAAACGAGCTTTGAATTTATCTATTGATCTATCAGACTTTCTCTTCACCCTGAACACCCACTTGCAGCCCACTGGATTACAATTGGAAGGGATTGGCACTAAGTCCCAAGTTTCATAAGAGCTGTAAGTTCATTTGACATAGCATCACGCCATTGTGGTTGAGATAAAGCCTGACTCACACAGGTTGGTTCAATGGTCTCAGGGAGAGGATGTTTACACACGAAATTTAGTTGTTTGGGTTTAAAAATTTTGTTCATAGAATGAGATGTCATTTGGTGAAGTCGTTGAATAGATGGGTCAGATGGTTTTTGGGCAGTCGGGTTTTGTGAGGTTTCAGCATGTTCTAGAGTTTGTACAACGTGGGAGGGGATGAGAAAATGATGGAACCAATGAGTTTGAATCATGCAGACAAGTATTTGGACAAAAGCTAGGAGATGAGGAATTCAAGTGCAAGGAGTTATCTCCTAGATTTTCAGAAGAAGAGAGAGGATTAACGAGATTACCTGAGGAGGATGCATCGACGGCGCCTTCACCTTCTGGAGTCGTTGATGAGGGCACATGCACGACCTGGGCATCGAAGAGTAGAGGAACATGGGTGTTTTCTGGTATTTGACTTTTTGGGTTTGTGAAAGACACAGTGGGCGTATTTGATTCATCAAACAACACATGCCGAAAAATGTACATCTTGTGGGTTTTGATGTCAAGACATTTGTATGCACTTTGGGTTTGAGAGTAACTGAGAAATACACATAGGGTAGATTTGGATTGCATTTTATGAGTTTTGTAAAAAGGATAAATATTTTGAAGAAGAGATGAGGGTTGCCTATTGATTAGATAGGCAGCTGTTTGGAAAGCGTGAGGCCATTATGAAAGTGGTAGTGATGTATCATGCAGCAGAGTGAGACCTGTTTCGACAAGATGACGATGACAACGCTTGGAAACACCATTTTGTTGTGGGGTATGTGGGGCGGTGGTATAGTCACCAATACCATGAAGCAATAAAAATGATTTTAAGGCAATGAATTCTCCACCATTATTAGAGTATAGGTTTTTGATTTTGGATTGGAAGTGTGTTTCTACAAATTTTTTGGAGGAAAAATTGTAGACACCCTAGATTTTGTAGCCATTGGATAGAACCACATATATTTTGTGAAGTGGTCAACTAAAATAATGTAATAACGAGATCCGTCAATTCCATTATAATGCGCGGGTCCCCAAACATCAGTATAAATAAGTTCAAGCGGTGCATGACTTTGAAGACTATTGGTATGAAAAGGTTGTTGATGGGCTTTATTAATGGAACATGAACTACACAATTGAGACAATTTATTTGTTTTGGCAACAGGAAGGGAAAAATTCTTAACAATATTTTGGACTATTCTAAGTGATGGATGCCCAAGACGCTTGTGCCACCCATCAATTGAGGTCCGTTCATGCACATTAGCAACCATTTTGGAAGGGGGAGACATCATTGATTCCGGAAAGGTGTAGACACCATTTTCACATGCTCCTCTTAGTAGAATCGCCCCCGTGATCTTGTCCTTCACCAAAAAATGAAAGGGGTGAAATTCAACAAAAACATTATTTTGTTTGGTAAAATGATGAACAAAAATTAAATTTTTGGAAAGGTTTGGAACACAAAGAGTATTGCGCAATATAAAGGTGCGTTTGGGTGATTGTAATTCCAAAGAACCAATGTGTGAGACAGCCAAACCTGAACCATCACCGAGAATTACTTCGTCAGTACAATCATATTCAGAATGAATTGACAAACTTGCAAGATTCCCCGTTATATTATGAGACGCGGCCGAATCAAGTAACCAATTTTTGTCCTTTTCGGCAGAGGTTGTAGCACAATTTATGGAGATATTTTGTGAATGAAATTGAGGACAGGACTTGGCAATGTGGCCTAATTGGTCACAAATTTGACATTTGAGTTGATAACGTCGATTGGAATTGTTGGGCTGGCCATAATTGTTGTAACGACGTCCATCGTGTTGGGCTTTATTTGAGTTTCGGCGTTGGCCAAAGCCTTGAGGCCCACATTGAGTGCCATTTTGCTTGAAAGTCCATGGGTGACTTCCTCCTTGTACAGGTTGCTTCGTCTTCGTGTAGTTTGCAGAAACCACCAGGTTCTACGTTGCAGATTCAAGGCGCCTTAAATATGCCTCATGTCCAACCAAAAGATCATGTAATTCATCAAAGGCCAATGATGATTCTCGGGCTCGAATAGGGGCAACAATCTCTCAAAAATCTGGACCTAAACCATTCGATACATAGAGGGTTAGGTCATCATCCGAAATTGAGTGATCAATAATGGCTAATTCATCAGTCAAGGCCTTCACAGCATGGAGATATTCTGTGATCGACCGATTTCCACGCTGGATCAAGGTGAGTTCCTCCTTTAACTGCATAGCATGAGCTCTTGATTGGCTTGCATACAAATTTTTTAACTTCTTCCAAGCTTCATGAAAGGTTTTTGCCGTAGCAATGAGTGGGGTGATTGAAGAAGATGTGGAGGCTAGATAGCACTCAGTCCTGTCGAACCCAATGGGTCTTGCGCAGATCATCAGCGGATGTACCAACAGAGGAGGGACACTGAAGAGTGCCTTCGACATAGTCGACTAAATCATAACCAATAAGGGGTACCTTAAATTGAGCACGCCATTGAGGAAAGGTGGAGGGAGTTAATTTTTCATTGATTTGGGCAGTGATATTGAGAGCTATCAAAGGTTTTTCTGTTCCAAAAAGGGGTTGGGTATTGAGGTTAAGGTTTGAAGTTTGATCAGAGGAGGAAGACATGGTGGTGACTTGGATCGGTGGCTTGTTAGAGATGCACGGCTCTAATACCATATAGAAGAACAGATTTCCTGTATTTTCAATGAAGAATTTCCCACACTTTATTGATGAAATAAGAGCTGACTTATATACACAGCGAGGAAAAACTATCTACTGCAATTTACATCAGTTAGGCTAAAATTATGTAGCAACTACAGAATTATGCAGAGTTGATTTTGGCTGATCTTGCTTGATTGTAGGCTAAATGTGCTATGTTTTATCTTGGCCTTGATTCTTGCAATCTGTGTTTATAAATCTACCCCATTATTTTAGAGGAAGAAGAAGACGTAAATTCGAAATGGGGAGTTTGGGGAAAGTAGTTTACACCTTGGGATTTTGGATTCGAGAGACGGGCCAAGTTTGGGGAAAGTAGTTTACACCTTGGGATTTTGGATTCGAGAGACGGGCCAAGTTTGGGGAAAGTAGTTTACACCTTGGGATTTTGGATTCGAGAGACGGGCCAAGTTTGGGGAAAGTAGTTTACACCTTGGGATTTTGGATTCGAGAGACGGGCCAAGTTTGGGGAAAGTAGTTTACACCTTGGGATTTTGGATTCGAGAGACGGGCCAAGCAATGGATCGTCTCAGCTGTCACCTCCAAGGAAATTATTACTTCCAAGAACAACGTACGCCCATTTACTTTCTTTTTTCTTAAAACCCCAGATCACCTACTTCCTTTATTTTAGTTTTTGATCCACCTTTATTTGTTCTTAATGTATTTTAGTGAGGATGGAAATTATTGTTGGGCTTGATATTTAAACTCTTTAATTAATTGATATTGCTGAGTGGAAAACGGAGGATAGGAAAATGATCTGCGGCATGTCTTAAAAATTGAACCTCTGTTGAAAAGAATGAAAATATCATACAAAAATAGATATTTTTTGGTGGGTGCAGTAGTGTACTTTAAAATACTATTCTGTATTTTGTAGCAAGGTATTTGTTCCTTTGAACTTGTATTTTTTTTCTCTCAGCTACTTGTATTTTTTCTACCTTTCTAAAATTTTTTTGTGGCTACAATAGCATATTTTTATTGCAGGAAGGAATAAGGGGATTTGTCATAGTTGTAGGAAATCGGGCCACTTATTGTCGAATTGCCGCACGAAGAAACCATGCCCATTATGCGGCAAGGGAATTGAGAAAAAAGAACTCAGGCAATTTCAGGGTGAGTCAAGTGCTACATCTGATGATGAAGAGAAGCTATCAAGTTTGTTGAAGAGCGTTGCTAAATAACCGAAGAAAATGACGTGGACGTCTCCATGAAATTTACATTCTGCAAGGGAAAAGGAGAAACAAGCAATGAGAAGGGCAAAGGAGAAACAAGCAATGAGAAACCAAATGGAGGAGCTTTGTGAACTTGAACCCGCTTATGTTTCAATTTGTGAATCCCAGAATTTCAATTTCGTGTATATAATTTGAAGTGTGTAATGTCAATCCCCAATGAAACGACTACGTTATTTTATATGAATGTGAGTTTCCATTAATCTCTGTAATTTTCTTCATTTCATAGTTGGGAATCAAACTGTAATGTTGATAGAAATTAAAATTAGAACTCGCAGGGTGGGTAGCTGCTACATATATAATGGACGTTCATGTCTAAACAATTTTGGCAAAATAACTAAACATGAACAGCTTCTCCCTTATTTTTTAATGTCGTGCTATTCCTAAGAGGCAAAATCCACACATACAAGTCAAGAGAAGTATCAAGTTGACCTCCTCTAACAAGCTTGACCCTCCCTGTTGGAATTAAATTTGCTTCCTTTGCATTCAACAAGAAAACAAACCTGATTTACACCAAAAAATCAGGTTTGAAACCTGATTGTTGTTGACACAGGTTCTAAATACATTGCAATCCACATACGCACAAAACCATGACTGGAGGATAGAAAAAACAAGAAAAAGATACTCGATGGAGCAATTAAAACCTGTGTCAACAACAAGAATTGATGACCAAACTTATGGCAACTGGTATTTCTAATATGCAACAGCATACACCATAAAACAAAACGATTGGTTTAATTGCAGTACATAAACACAATACAAAACCAAAAAACAAAAACATTTGCCTTAATTGCAGTACATAAACATTTGGTGCCAGGTTTTGCTCCAATTTCCTATGGACCAGCCCTAACCACTATCCGCAAACACCCAACTTTAGGGACTTCTGTCACATAATATGTAGCAACATACACTAAAACCAAAAACATAATATGCTGCAACATACACCATAAAACAAAAATACGGGACTGCTATCACATTGTTGATCATCAGTGTCGTCCCAATTTCGCAGATTTCCTCCCACGATGTGCTTGTGCCTTGGCCTTTCCCAATTTGTCCGATTCCAGTTCTGCCGTGTCCTGCATGTTGTTAATAGTGTCGTCAAAGTTTTCATACATTTATGAACTTGATGGTTGGCCGTTTCATTACAATGAGTTGTTGCTGCTCCCTCTCGAAAATGACCTAGCCGTGATTCATGTTTCACCATTGGCGTTGGCATGAATTGGAAACCTTCATCAACCACAGCAGCTTGGTCTGATGAAGTGGCTATATGTTTTCGTGCAACCAGTTTACCCTTATGCATCAACCATAATCAAATATTAGTCACACTTTCCGGAACTTCTTGGAAGTACCTATCCGTGTACATGAGGCAATATCAGTTTGAAAGGAAAAAGCAGACCAGAAGTAATATCATTGAGCGGGTAAGAGATATTCATTTCTTCAATTAGTCAAAGGAAAAAGCAGACTAGAAGTTCAATTTTTAAGACATGTCGTAGATCATTTTCCTATCCTCCATTTTCCACTTGGCAATATCAATTAATTAAAGAGTTTAAATATCAAGCTCGACAATAATTTCCATCCTCACTATAATACATTAAGAACAAATAAAGGTGGATCAAAAACTAAAATAAAGGAAATGGGTGATCTGGGGTTTTAAGAAAAAGGAAAGCAAATGAGCGTACGTTGTTCTTGGAAGTAATAATTTCCTTGGAGGCGACAGCCGAGACGATCCATTGCTTGGCCCGTGACCGTCTCTCGAATCCAAAATCCCAAGGTCACTCTCCATTTCGAATTTACGTCTTCTTCTTCCTCTGAAATAATCGGGTGGATTTTCGAAATCTTCGCGTGAGACTTGGGAGAAATCGACTTGGAGAAGATGGTTCTAGATTAGGGTTCTTCACAGATTTGGGAGGAATCGATTTAAAAAGGAGAGAGATTTATGAAGGAGTCAGGTCCGTTTATTTTCGTTTTGGATGTAAAAACCTTTTTATTAATTGTTAAAGGCTTGTTTGCATGTGCTTTTGCCGATGTGGATGGTGCGTTGGCACTTCACAAGCCACTTGGAAACATTTAACCGGCCAGCAGTGTTTTTCGTCGTCCATGTAATCATGTTTACTATCGGTTGTCTTCCAGTGGGTGATGGAGATGGACGATGCAAAGTTTAATGACCAATGGAATGATTTATGAAGTTCAGTGAGTAAGTCGTGACATGACATAAAGTTCAGTGGTCAATGAAATATTTTTAACTCCAAATTTACAAGTATTGTGATTTATTATTTATTTATTTTTCTTAAGACCCAATGAAATATTGTTAAGTGGATCCCTATAAATCAATCTAACAGAATGCCCCATGCACCTGACACGTTTGAATTTCAATTACCCTTTACCCAAAAGAGCTTATATATAGTTAGGTTTATTAACACAAAACGTTCCTATATTTCAATTATTATTATTTATTTATTTATTTATTTATTTTTATTTTTATTTTTTGTATTTTCACCCCCCTTTTTAACGTTTTGTTTTAAAATGACAAGTATACCCTCGTATTTAAATAAAATAAATAAATAATGAACAAATTGCAATCATACGCCCAATTTTTTCATAAAAATGCAAATAAGTCACAAATAAATTAGAATTAAAAAATCAGAAAAGAAAAGAAAAATCATCCCCCACCCACCTTAAAATTGGCAATCATTCACTCCAATGATGGTCATTGATCAAACATCTTCAATAAATTCTTAATCTCTATTCATATGTTCAAATCCCAAAATCTGTAATTATGCTTCCTCCATTTTGGGTAATTTTTGCACTGTTATTTATAACATTTCTACCTTCAACTTCAGTTGTTGACTTCCCGAATGGGAACCTTGTGGGGATAGTTTTAAGAACATTTTCAAAAGACTCTTTAAATACAAAGTACTCTCTATTTTAGAGAGTCGATTTTTAAAAATGAGCTCCAAGATACTTTATTTTAACTTTGTAAAGTAGAGTGTGTTTGACTCTCCAAATTTAGAGAGTCAAACGTATTCTCTATTCTTAATGTCTAATGATTACATTTAATACTTTATAAATTTCAATACCCTACAATTCAAAATTTTCAAATTACATTTGAATTGATTGGTCATTAATATATAAAAAAAATTATATTAAAATAAAATATATGGAGAAATTATTAAATGTTCATTGAAAAAAATAAAATAAAGAATCAGAATAGAAAGTGATTTATAGTGTATAAAAAAATTAATCTCTAAATTTAAATATATTCTCTATTATGGATAAGATGATCTTTATAAATAGAGAGTCTTTTGGAGATATTCTAATAAAATTGAATTTATGATTACACAAATTGCTGGCTAATATACTAATAATTTTGGAATTTTACATTTGTTCCTATAGACATGCGAAATGGACAGAATATTCATGCCTGGGTTGAAGTAAAAAAGGAAGGGATGTTGGGAAGAAAATATTAGCGGAGACGGAGGGGAGAGGGAGAAAGAAGAAGAGGATTTTTCTTTTTTTTTTTAATTTAATTTATTTGAAATTTATTTGCACTTTTTTTATAAAAAAAATTAGGAGTATAATTGCAAATTTTTATTCATTTATTTTTCTTTTTGTTTCTTTTTTTTTTTTAAATTTAAATAGGAGGATATATTTGTCATTTTACAATTTTTAATTGAGAAATTGGCTAAAAATTGATGAGGTGAAAATGCAAAAATTTGAAATGTAGGAACGTTTTGCATACTAGAAACCAAATGTAATGACATTTTGTGCTAATAAGCCTATATCGTTATATCGGTGCATAAATATATTCTATATTACTTAATTACACCTTCATATTTAACAAAGTTTTCATATACAAAAAGAAGAAGAAATTTGAAAAGAAGCATTTTGATGAAGAGTTGGATTCTTTTACCGTAATACGAAATAATCTCATACTGCTTTTTACACTTTGTCAACACATGTTTCTTAAGATCAACAATCACTTTTCGTAGTAAAAGCATTCTAAATTTCGAAAACATCAAAAGAACGATGTTTAGAACTCT